GTTGGGGAAGCTTATTGGACAAGTAATTCTAGCTTGGAAATGAAGCAGTCCAGGGTTGTATTAGGCTCCCCCTCTTCAAAAAGCTTTGTCCTCAAAGCTAACTCCTTCTTCTATTCAAAATTGTCACAGAACTGATCCCAAATTGGATCGAAAGATGGCTGCTCAAACTCCAATTTCTGCAAAATTAAGGCAGTGTTCTTCATCAAAGAAATTGGCCCTTTTGGATTTAGGGAGTTCCAGGCTAAATCATTCCTCCCACGAGGTTCTCCATACCCCCAATCGACTTTCTGAAGTAGCCCTTCGTCTCGAATCATCATCATTCGTGTCGAACCATCTCCTCGTCGTTTCCCGCCATTGTTCACTTTCGAACTTCTGAAAACTAGGATACCCATTCGATTTTGGGCGTTTTTAATTTAACAATCATCGAATCGAATTGAGTGTACCTACACCTTCCCAATAACTCCTTTGATGGTTCTGCAGAACGAATGCGACTCGAATCGAGTTGGAGGACCCCACACAAGAAGGGGTCTTGGTCGTCCTTCTTCGTCACAAACAGAGGTGCTTCCAGCGAATTTAAAGTTGCAATTGCAGGCAAGTCTTCTTCCATTAGAGCTACTGGTGACGTTCCCAGGGTCGGGAAGAATGTACCAGCGTCGACGGCGAGTCTCGACTCATTCCCCAGTGGCACGACTAGTTCATTCTCTCTTTTCCCTGTCCTGTCGTCGAAGGACAGAGCAACCATCTCCCTAGCGACCGATGAAGCTCTACTCTCCTTAGAGATGTAAGCATAAATCTTTGAACCAACAAACCAGTTTCATTGCTCGTTCCATTCTTCAAACCATCATAGTCATCCTTGGCCTTGCTCCGCTTCACCTACATCTGCTGCTGATCGGCTCGGACCTCTGCCGGAGATAGCGGTTTAAGAAGGAATTTGCAATCCCCGTACCTGAATCGGTAACAATTTTCTCGTCCCTCGTGAGTGACCCTTCGATCATACTTCCATGGCTGTCCGAGTAGAAGATGGGATGCCTGCATTGGGGCTACGTCACAACATAACTCATCCTCGTAGTCGCAGATTTTGAAACGAAATTTAGTCTGCTTATTCACTTTAAGGGTATCATATTCATTCAGCCAATGTAGACTGTAAGGCTTGGAGTGTTTGATCGTTCCTAACCCGAGCCTTTTAACAACGTCAAGGCTAATAACGTTTGTGCATCTACCTCCGTCGATTACAATGGAGAGTAATTTTCCTTCAACTGTGCAACAGGTGTGAAACAGATGGACCCGATGTTCTTCTTCAGCTCGAGAGTCCATGGTAAGCAATCGTCCATTCACCCCGAGAAACTTACCAGGAGGGATTTCTGCCTCAATAGATTCGTCAACGTCAGAATCAGAATCAAGCTTGTCGTCTCTGGTCTCCTCTTCTTCGTCTTCTGAGACGTATTCACCATCGAGAAGCACTAAGGCCTTCTTATTTGGGCATTGGTTGGCCTTGTGGCCTCTTCCGGAACTCTTAAAGCACTGAATGCTGCTTGTCAACCCTCCAGGCTTCTCGTGATTGACCGGAGCAGTAGTGTCGGCGCTAGTTTGGCTCCGTCCACCCTGTTTTGCTCGCATTGGCCAAATGTGGATGTTTCGAGACCGGTTTCGAAGCTCAATATCTCTTTGCCGCACTTAATTGCTTTTGTTTACCCACCTTGATTGCAAGATGAAATACCTCCTCAAGTTCTACGAACTGCCGAAGCTCGATCTCGTTCCTAATGTCTCGATTGAGGGCATGGAGGAATCGAGAAATCGTGGCTTCTTTGTCTTCACGAATATCGGCGCGCAACATCAGCAGTTCGAGTTCTTTAAAATACTCATCCACAGAGCGAGTCCCTTTCGAATGCCCTGCAAAGCGTCAAAAAATTCATGCTAATAGTATACAGGTATGAATCTGTCTATCATCAAGCCTCGCAGCTCTTCCCAGGTTGTGTTTGGAGGCTATAAATTTTGCCTCCTTCGTAGCTGAGTCTTCTCCCACCACATTGCTGCATAATCCGAGAATTCTTACGTAGCGAGTTGTACCTTCTGTTCCTCTGTATATTGTCTGCACTGAAAGAAAAGAATCATCTTTCTTTCCCAATCAAGGTAACTCATAGAATCCAATCGACAATTAAGCTGATCGAATTGGGTCTAGAACGTGACATTAAGATGGGCAGTAAGAGTCTGCAGAAGCTCAACCATGTTGACCTGTTGTTCGGCCATCTCGGGTTCGTTGTTGTCTTGCTCGGTGGTGGAAGACGAGTTCTGCTCTTGTGTTCTATTAGTAATAGGATATTTCGCGCGCGTCCTTGCAGCAACAGGTAATGCCGCCTTTGATGTTGTCTTTGTCTTATCCACTGTGTCGAACCAAGGCTACTGATACCACTTGATAAGCTCCAACTCTTGAAGCTTGATGATCAGAGCATGCAAAATATAAAACTCCAAGCTTGTTATATAAAAACTGCAGAGAAGGAAAATAATATGGTAAACGATGGAGTTGGAAGGTGCAACTTCAACACCAATTTTGGGGAAGAGGCTCGATCCAAATAGGGTAGCAACTCATCCACGATTGATGTGGTAAATCAATCAATGTTGAGTTCGCTCGTTGCTGGAATTCAATCCACTCAACAAGGTCAATTAAGGATAGGAAACTCTATGAATAAGGTTCTTCAATAACTATAAAAAAACTGCCTTTACAAAGCATTGGCCGAGTGTTTAAATAGATAGCTAGGTTTGCAATAGACCAAGAACTTCCTAATTAAATTAGAGCTCGAAAAACTAAGCTTAAACATAAAAGGAATACTAATTTGAATCAAATAAGGAAAGAAACTATGCCTTCAGCTCTAAGTCACTAAACAGCCCTTGAGGCAATCTTTGAGGCTCTCGATCGATGACTTCCAGGTACGAAATAAATCATTCAACGCCTCTTCTATGTAGATTAACATGCATACTGGTATTTGGGTTATACCAAAAGCATAAGCATCAATCTAACCCCCTTCCTCCACCCACAAACATTCTTTTCCGGGTTGGATTGGATGGATGTGCGGTTGTGTTGTGGGTTATGTCGCAAAAGCAATTCTCCAACTAGCATTAAGAAAGTTTACTAACTTTTAAGTTCCTAGCAAATTTGCAAGGCCGTATCAATTTAGACACTTCTCACTTTGTCTCATGTGAATCCATGTTGCATAATAATTTTAATACTCTATCAACCAATTGTAAAGTTGGCACACTTTGCGAATATGATACAATTAATAGTTTATAATTTGTATCCTAATATCTAATGGATATTATACAACATAATAACTAATAATAGTAGTCCAAAACTATTCTTTATTCTCCACTTCTGGAAGTAGATAGTTAGTGTGTAGTGCAGTTACAAATTTGTTGAATATTCGATAGTATAAGAAATCACATTTTCATGTGCATATATGGTGCGGGTCATTCGGGTGACCCGCAATCCACCCACCACCCACCCACATAAGTGCGGGTAGGAGATTTATCAATCCGCAATCCATCCACATCAATCACCCGCTGCCTGCAGTTAAGGTTATTTGCGGGTGGATCGATATCAACCCGCAGATTAACCACCCACTTGCCCACCCCAATAAACTAGTGTGTGCTTAATCCCCTCTCAACTAGTCTCCCTCACTCACTACTATCAGACCCTCAACCTCAAAGATGGTCACTTAGTTATACATAGCTCATTTCCTCACTATTTGGCAATCCATACCAAAATAATTTTATTATTTATAATATGTTTATAGGTTGTTTAATTGTCCACTTTTTCAGTTTTTTTTTTTTTTTTTTTTTTGCTTTACTTTGTTAATGTGCTTCTTATGCAACACATTTTTCTAGTTGTTGTTAATATACTTGAGAGTTTTTCCGTTTGTTTTGCAAGAGTGTTCAATTTATTGTTTGTTTTTTATATTTTTGAGGATGGTTTGTGGAGCTGCCCTCAGAGGATAAGTATTTGGATTTGTATATTTAATTTATAATTGTGAAGAGAATTATTTGATATTTGGTATATATTCGATAGCTAACAAAATTTTAGAAATTGAGATTGAGATATATAATTTATTTTGAGATTGAAATTGAGTTTAATACACTATTGATATTCGGTATTTGGTAATAGAATAGTCGTGCTGATTTCCACCCTACTTGTTAAAGCGTCGTTAGGGGTGGGCAACAAGACGGGACGGGATACCCGTCCCGTTTTAAACGGGTACCCAGTCCCATTTGGAGACCAAAGTCCATCCCATATCCCAAACCAATATGGGAAACGGGTACCCATTACCCGTACGGGACGGATAACGGGTACCCATACTACCCATAAATACCCAAAGTTTAAACCACTAAAATTTTAACAAAAGTTTAAACTTAACTTGTATTTGCTTAACAATCACAAGACACAAAATACATCCCAATCACAAATACTTGGTTTGCAAATTACACATTCATGAACAATCACAACACATAGAAATAAATCATTCCAAGTACCAAATTATCAAAAAAAAAGTTTCATTCAACACATCCCAACTCTCTCTACTAATTCACCAAACATGTCGGTGAAAGAGTGAAAGGGTACGGGCCTAAATGGAATTGAAATTGAAATGGTAAGGGCCGAAATGGCCAATGAATTTTGAATTGGGTTGGGCTGAATTAAATTTTTGCATTTGTATTGAATGGGTATAACGGGTACCCATATTACTCAAACGGGTATTCGCGGATAACCCAAGGGTACAATCCCAAATCCCATCCATTTATAATATTACGGGTAATATGAATACCCGTAACCCCTTAAAAAACGGAACGGGTACGGGTATACCCAAATACCCATTTCCCGTTGCCCACCCCTAAGCGTCGTAGCAAAATTGGGCGCTTTATACCAAGCGGAATTGCAGTCGTTCATTGCCGAATTACGGCGAAAGGGAGGGTACATGGCGTTGAGGACATAGCGTCAAAAATCTATTTCGTCCCCTTTCTCTTCGGCATTATTAGGAGAGAGAGAGAGAAGAAGAGGTAACTAGTGACTGGAGTGGAGAGCATAAGGGGACCCTTATCTTTGCGGCCCTCCTTCTTTGGCCTCTTGGCTCTGCAGCTGGAAACATCTAGCCTTTTAAAGCCAAGCAATCGCCAAAAAAGAGGAAAACGGGAAAGCAAACAAAGATATAACCACCGAAAATAGAACAGCCAACAGAAAATCTTCTGGCGATAAAATCTCTACAAAATTTTCTCCATTTCCAACCACTCTCAATTTCAGAGATGTCTGAACTGTGAGAAAGAAAGAAATCCCAAAGACGAAGGGGGGCATGTCGGCATGATAGAGCTGCAAGAGCTTTTAGGAATTTGAGATGGCAGAATTTGACAATTGGCCTGCATCTCTCGGCCATGGCGGCCATTTGATTGCCATTTATGGACATTCTCTTCTCTTCTGAGCCTGAGTCGGTTGCGTTTTGTCATCGTTCAGTTGCCAAGCAGCCCTTCTCCTTTTTCTCTTTCCTCAACTCACCCCTACCCCTACCCCTTTCTCCTGCTCTGTTTCTACTTTTCACTTCCTCCTCAGCCTTGCCCTTTTGGAAGACAGAATGAACCATTTTGTTCCCGTCTTCGAAATGGAGGACGACGATGGAATCCCTTCTTCTTCGGCCTTCAATGGCCTCAAGAAATCATCCGCGTAAGACTCCCGGCCCCCCCTAACTTCCTTCTTAGATTCCAATCCCTAGTTCATCTCTCCGATTCAGATTCTTCGACCGACTGACTCTTGGGTTTCAACTTGATTGTTTATATGGTGGCTTCAAACTTGTTTAGCAGGTCTGAGGACGACATCATGGAGCTACTCTGGCAGAACGGCCAAGTTGTTGTCCAGAGCCAAACGCAGAGATCTCTCAAGAGATCCCCCAAACACGACGGCGGCGGCCTGAACCCAGCCGACCACTCAGCGTTCAAGGAGATCCGGCCGTCTTTCCATGACCATCCTGCTCTGCCTACTCCCCACCTGTTTATGCAAGAGGACGAGATGGCCTCCTGGCTTCATTACCCCATCCACGAACCCAATTTTGATCAGGACCTCTGCGCCGATCTCCTCTATCCAGCCGCCCCCTGCATCACCGCCGCCCTCACCGCCGCCACAGGCACCGCCTCAGCGACGACCAACGTCGGCGGTCCTCCTGTTCGCCCCTTGCAGAATCAGCACTTGGCCGCAGTTGCCAGGCCGCCGATTCCTCCCCCCAGGAAGCCTGATGTGGTTCAGAACTTCGCGCACTTCTCCAGGCACAGAGCGGCCGCGGTCAGGGGAAACATGGCTGAATCGGGACCTTCCAATTCGAAGACGGTGGTGAGGGAATCCACGGTCGTTGATTCGAGCGATACCCCGGCGCTGCGGCTTAATTCTCGAGTCTCGGAGGCCTTTGTGGCCGCTTCGATCAGCGACAATCTTGGCGGAACCCTGAGCGTGTCGGCAGCTGGCGTGAGCGGCGGCGCTGGGCACGGAGCGATGGCGGCGGGTCCCTCGACCTCCACCAAGACGACTAAGGACGTGATGACCTGCGAGATGACGGTGACGTCATCTCCCGGCGGCTCCAGCTCGAGCGCGGTGCCGGCGACTCAGAGTCAGCGGACGGAGGATAGGAAGCGGAAGGGGAGGGAGGAGGAGGGCGAGTATCACAGCGAGGTGAGTCTCTTGCAAATCGCAATTACTGAGTTAAGCAGAGGTGGTTATCAGTTATCAGTTAACACTAACCAACTCAATCTGCTATCATTAAATTAAGCACAAGCTCGATTAAAGGGAATTCCAATTCTAGGGATTATTAAATTAAAATAATAGAGATGATAATATATTATTATTATTATTATTAATATTATCATTAATTAGAAAAACAGGGAGCACGTTTTATCCTCTCCTGCCCATCGTGCGCTGGCAGTGTGACCTTGATAAACGCGAGCACCGATTCCCGGTAGATTTTTCTTTCGCCTTTAAAAAAACAATTTTCTGCCCTCCGGTTCTCTGGTCTGCTGCTAGCTTGTTAACCCGCGGGTCGATCCGTTGATTGATTTGATTCGGTGAGAAAAATAGGTTACACATATTCACTAGTCCACTTACTGAAAAGTTATCGGGTTCGGGTTAGAAGTTACAAAGCATATTTTCCCCTTTAATTCACGAAATGTGCTTTTTCCAGTTTTCCTCACCGCCTAACCCTGTTTTTGGAATTTTTAAGTTGAACATTTAAATATTTGATGTTATATAAGTGTGTGAATCTTCACTGTATGTTGGATCCAAATACGATCTATTATTTTGGTGTAATGTTATATGAGTCCGGAGTTAACTTGAACATGTAGAAACTGTTATTACTCATATGTTAAATGAGATTTGATAAAATTTATAAATGTAGGCAAATATTTTTCATATATCCAGACTAATCCGGACTATAAGAGTCGATCACTTGTCTTACCGAGCTAACAAACTAAACCGGGGTGACAACCTTGGTCTGGTGAGCACATCTTTTTTTTCTTCTTCTACAGACCGGAGAGAAGTTGTTTGGGGGCTATAGATTAGACTGTATGCGCACGTTGTAGGATAGTTATGCAACTCCGGGATGTACAATTTTTTTGTGGCCACATTTCCAAATATCTGCGCTGCCTGATGTCTGCCCACCCTGACAGAAGCTGCCCCCTGGTAGAGCGGTCCTTGTTTTCTTTTTTTCTTTTTGTTGCTTTCCATACCCTGCCTTCAGATATGCCGTGTGCTCCTCTCAAAGTTATGGGACGTTCTGTCTGTGATGATCTTCTCTGTGCGGGTGCATTTGATGGACCTGATGTGGTCCATTTTTTGGTTAAGAGAAAAATGAGGATGTTAATATATTCATGACGAGGCAAGGAGCTGCACTTGACCACCGATTCAACCCTTTTTCGAAATTGTGCAACCGGACCACTCTGCTGGATTTTAAAGCGGTGAAGTTCCTAGAGTATCCGCTCAGACGATGAGTGTTGTGATAATCGCATGTGCATACTTTATCTGTCACAAATCTCATAATTTTCCTAATGAATCTAGTCTGCAGATATTATTATATGTTTCTGCATGCTGAGTGATGCTTGAGGGGCTAAGTTTGGTCTGTTAAGCTGATTATTTGCGTGTAGAAATTAGAATTCCGTGCTACTTTCTACATGTTTGCTTGATTCAATTGTTACCCCTGCTTTGACATTGAAGGATGCTGAGTTTGAATCTGTGGAAGTGAAGAAACAAGCTCGCGGATCAACTTCATCCAATAAGAGGTCTCGTGCTGCTGAGGTTCACAACCTCTCTGAAAGGGTGTGTATTTTCCAACTACCCTTCTGTTGGAGTTGGTGAATTGGTTCGTTCACTATGACTATGGTTGAGAGATTGTGTTACTTTGTTATTGCAGAGGCGTAGAGATCGGATCAACGAAAAGATGAGGGCCTTGCAAGAACTTATACCACGTTGCAACAAGGTTTCCATTATAGATATATGTGTTCTAGCGTTGTAGTCTTTAATAGTATATATAAGAATCATTCCCCCTATCCCATTGGCATTTGTCAACCAGTCAGTGAACTTCTGTTTTATTTCTGTCAATGTGCAGTCAGACAAAGCTTCTATGCTGGATGAGGCGATTGAATACTTGAAGTCTCTTCAATTGCAAGTACAGGTATGTATTGCTTGTATCATTTTATGGTCTTGTGTTGGCTATCTAGATTAGTCACCTCGTTGTCCAAACTACGTGTAGATCAAATAGTGTTGAACTCATAGCAGCTCAATCAACTTGTTCCCTTGACCGGGAAAAGATTAAGAACAAAATAGGGATTAGAGTTTTGAGAGGAGTGGGCAAACTGAGTTCTTTGACTGATTGATAATCGATCGAGCCCACAATTTATAGACTCTCACCCCGAAACGATAATCGGCCAACCTACTAACTTAACAAAATTCCCAAAACCGAATATCATGTTTCCATCATCTATTCATCATGTAACTGCCGTTTCCCACACTAGTTCAAACCTGACACATTGAAACCAAAGAGAGGTCTGTCAATGTTGTTCGTGTATCGATTTCTACAAGTTGCTCATTATTAATTTTGCTGCTTCTGCTAAAAAACCTTTAATGATAAGGATGGGCCATTTGTTGGAGAAGCAACTAACTAATACTATCCTCTTCCACATCCATCATTTTCAGACTAATGTAATATTAAGAATTGGTTGTTTCGCATAGGATTAAGGATTCTTTCTCTGTGCTTGTGTGTGTTATATGTTGCTGTTCATATTTGAATCAACAATAATTTTGGATGCACACATCGTCTATGACAAAAGTTAGAATGTGATCAATTCCTGCAGATGATGTCCATGGGATGCAGCATGGTTCCTATGATGTTTCCTGGCGTCCAGCAATACATGCCACCTATGGGGATGGGTATGGGGATGGGAATGGAAATGGGAATGAACCGGCCAATGATGCCATTTCCAAATGTTTTGGCTGGTGGATCCTTGCAGTCAGCAGCAGCTCATTTGGGCCAGAGGTTTCCTGTGCCAGCCTTTCAGATGCCGCCTGTCTTGCATCCTGATGCATCCCGAATTCAAGTTGCAAACCAGTCAGATGCCATGCTATGCACACTAGGCGCATCGACCCTGGGCCAACAAAGGCCTCCAAACTTTCCTGATCCCTATCAGCAATTCCTTGGTCTCCACCAGATGCAGATGCCAATACCAATGCCACAGGTATTTGTGTGTAATTACTGAGACTTTCATGTCGGGGTTAATACCTGACCATCAATCTTTGTCCACTTAACGAGACAAAGCACTCGCCCTATTTATAAGTCCTGCATGTATTGGTTGTAACTGCGAACTTGCGTTCATAAGCATATATATAATCCCTTTGACATGTCCCCTAAGGTTCTTTGCTTCCTCTTTGTCAATCCCACCCCAGCCTTTGTTGTATCTGCTGATTGTATCCTAATGCTGACTTGTATTCTCAGAATCAACTAATACCACAGCCAAGTACGAGCAAGCCCAGTTCAAGTCCTGGAGGTGAACACGGTGATGGTCATCAGTCTGGTACGTTCTTTCATCTCGTCTCACTTCAATTTACTGTGATTGTTTGGATCACCACTACTTGATAATTATTGGAGGGAACTAACCTAGAAGATGGTTGGTTTTAGACAGTATCATATCTCTCAATCAGACCAATTCTTAATCTCCAATGGTTCATAGGAGGGGAGGTGTTTTTTCTGCATTTTTCCAATTTTCAACTTCCTTCATTTCGGTTGCTTATTTCGGACACCGGGACTTCTCGCAATGCACATCTCCTTTTCTTTCTCCCTGTCCTGCCCCAATGAAAGTCTCAACATATATATTTGATGACTTAGATGTCGAAAACCATATTACTATTCTTTGTCTAGTGTATCTCGTTATCTGTGATTCCAAATGCTGGCCCTTTCATTCTTCTGAAGAATTATCTTGTTGTTGTTTGCTAGGCACATGATGATCAGAATATTGAAGTGAATGAGAGACGACCAATGTTTTCACCTTGCAGCAGTATGTTGTATAGTCGGAGCGAGTCTCGTCCAGAATTGTAATGCAATTGGTGGTGATCCTCGCAATTGTCCCGGGAATGCTTTGGCTGGGAGTGGCGCTAATTCTGCCAGCAGGAGAATTAGACAGCGATAGTGAAGGTGTTGGATTTCATGTAATTTGCAGGTTGAAGTTTGGTTCCTTGGGTGGATATGCATCAGATCCGGCAAGGCCCTAGGAAGTTTTGTAGTTTAGTGTTGAAGTTGAGTGTATAACAGAGAAAGAGCAGCTCTGGCAACTGTCTTATACCCCACCCAAAAACAAACCTAAAGCTAACATGTAATTATTACAAACCTATAGAATTCGAACCTAGAAACCTTACCTGTTTGGATCCGTTCCCATCCTGCATCCAATATATTTATATGCTACTATTATTCTTTTCCACTTTGTGATAATAATATATATTAGAAGCGATACCTGCGGGGACTAAAGTTGCAGTAACATGATTGTACTGTAACCAAGGATTAAAATATTGTATTGTATCGGCGGTTCGGTCTAAAAAATCTTTTACCGGAAGCAAATTTGGTAGGCGGTATTTAGCGATATAATACGGTTGAACTATAGTTAAATCACGGTTTTAGTATAAAATATCATACCGCTGACTTTTCCGATACAATCTCTGGTACCGTATTTTCAATCCTTGATTGTAACCAATTTAAATGGCAGCAAATTGGGGTAGTTGCGCTATTGGCCACATTGTGGGATTCAAAGTTTCGAAATTGTGCATGACACTTTGTATTTTGTGCTTCATAGGTAATCAACATGCCGCTTCTATCAAGGCACCTATTTGCGAAGGTAAATAAAGTTCGGGAGAAGTACATATCAATGTGCAACACTTCCTAACCAAGGGGTAAAATAGCTAGGGTACCACTAAAGTATGAGAATTGGTGGAGCTATACCACTTAAGTAAGAATAGGGCATCGCGTGCCACTAAACTTTATTATATGTGCACTCGCTACCACTTAAGTTTACTATCAAGTGCATTCCGTTAAAATTGACAGAATATTCTTGGAATATTCCGTTTTCTAAATTTCAAAATTGGTCCTTCCAATTTTTGTTATTGTACGAAATCCTTTGGACTTATGAAAAACATCATTTTTTATTGTTTAGTTGGAATAATCTTTTGAAGACTCTCTTTTATACCAAACTAATTTTTGAATAAAAAAATTTAGAATCAATTACCATTATAAATATTTTCAATTTCAATTATCATTATGTGTTCTAATAATTGAATGATTCACTTAAACAAATATATCCTGTGAATTCTGTCTCGATATAAATAATCTGAGTGTTATATTTAGTTCTCTTACATCATGCCGGTCTTGTCTAATTTTCTATATTAAATCTCCTTGTAATTTTATAATATTATGTATATGTTTCATATTAGTTAAATTTACTAATTGTAATTCTCTTCCTATAGTCATTTTTTCCCTAGATCTTCTTTAGTCTTGATTTATTGACGGTCGATTAGGTTCTATTTTAACTGTTTTTATTGGTGCTTCTAATTGTATTAAGGGTTTAAATAGATCTTCTAGTATATTTATTATTATTTCTTGATATTCGTTGATTATTTGTACTAAGTTATCTATTATATTGAAAAAATTTCATTAGTCATTCTAGTAATATTATGTTTAGAAGGTTTTTTAATTTTTATATTAGATAATACTTGTTGAATATAGTTTTTGATGTTTTAAAAAAATTTGGGTACCAAAAGGTAATTAAAGTTTTGGGTTGGATGGAAAACTAGACGAATGCACATTTTGGCGACTTTAATGGTATCTGATGCCTTATTCAAACTTAAGTGGTATGACCATATGGCTACCACAATTCTCAAATTTAAGTGGTACCCCAGGTATTTTACCCTCCTAACCAACATGATGTCTGCATTCTGGAAACAAAAGTAAAAAGCATATGCATTGTCAAGAAACACTAATCGCCAATCATTCTACATGTCTTTACGAATAGCTATACAACGCAAAGTATACATAAACATAGTACATGCAGAGAATTGAAGCAAAATATGTTCTGGATTACAACCCCAACAAAGCAAGATCTTTGACATCATAAAGGGACAAACAGGGTTTTAAACGTCAAGATGAGAAAGGCAAGTGGATCCCACTCGCCTCAAACACCGAAATATCAATCTCCACAGTAAAAATCTTGCCTATGATACAGCTGATGCATGCATTTCTAGCGGTGTTAGTGAGCCAAATACTCTTCTACTGATTTCTGTAACAGTGAACTTGCTGCATGGAAACCCGACTCCATCGATAAGCTTGTTGGTTCGAGTTCTAACAAAACCTACAACAAACAATGTGACATTCCTCTTGAGCAAACAATGGAAGTTAACAACCGCTCTGTAGCAAAAGAATGGAGAAAACAAAAAGAGGAGCCTGTGAATCCAAACTTCCCCAAGAACAATGGAAGTTAACAACAAAAAGAGGAGTCAATCCAAACTTCTTGATTGAATCAGTTTAGGATCCAAACTTTCTAATGGATGTTGTATCCTAGAACCAATCAAAAGTTGAGATTAACACTAAACTTCTTACATAATTGAGTGAAAGATACAGTTTTGAGATTCATAAAAAAGGAAGATAATTTTGACAACAGTTTTGAGATTATACACTAGCAAACACTACTATCGCGTGGTATAGACCATAGTTCAAAAATGCAGGCTAAACCTTATGTCAAGACGCTAGGCAAAGCTAAAACGCCTTGTCTAGAGGTTCCGCAATAGGTTAGAAATTTCGAACGAGGCCGGACATTTCAACCACACCTAGGTGTCGCTTAGGTGTAACTGGGCGGAGCTAGACAGTCAAAATCAAAAGGGAGAAAGTAACATCATCTACAATCTCAAATTTTTCGATAGCTCAAGAATTTTGAGCACCGTTGACCTATGATTTTATGAACTATTGTGTCATTTTTCTTAGGGCTAATTCCACTAGAAAGTCCAAACTATCTTAAAAGTGTCATTTGTGTGCTAAACTATTCAATATGACAAATCTGACATAAACTATATGCATTTCGTGACATTTGTGTCCTAAACCATTCAACATGAAAAATCTTGCACAAACCACATAGATGTTGACTAGAATTTATGTTAAATACTAATGATAAACGCCGGTAAACATTAACGGAAAAATAGTTCGTGCCAGATTTTTCATATTGAATAGTTTAGAACACAAATGACACTTTTTTAATAGTTTGGGCTTCCTAGTAGAATTAGCCCTTTTTCTTATTGTTAAGTGTTAAATAAGTATTAATCATTTGAAGTGAAGTAGAAGTTCGTAAAACAACTATTTCATTCATCATATAATAAATATGGCTATTTTTTATTCAAAAGTCTAGGAACACTTAGACAACGCCTAGGCAACCTAGGAGTTAGACAAGACTCCAATGTCTGTCTTACTCCTATCACCTTCTTGAATTTTGGTATAGACTGATAATATATGTGCCAAAAATTTTTTTCTTTTGTTCCAAAACATATAAAAGTAAATGTAATTTTGAATATGGCAATTTATATTTTTAAAAAATAAATTCCAAGTATATCTTAGGTCTTTGTAGGTATGATAATCCAGATGTTGTTTTCTTTTCCGAGACAAGATCGTGTAGGAGAGTAGTTTCCCGGCGTATGCGGGATTTAAGGTTTTATTCCTATTTCTCAGTCGATGCTGTTAATTCTTCAGGGGGGTTGGCTATAGGTTGGGTTCTTGGGTTGGATGTAACAGTGTTACACAGTTCTAGTTTTTATGTCACTGTCCGTTTTGGAATAATGAATTGGCCATTGATATTATGTGGTTGTGTGTGTGTTTGGATAGTAATGCTGCAGTCCATGCTCTGTAGCTTGAGGCTGTGAATTTAATATGTAATGGTCTTTCTTTTCCTTTTGCGTTGATAGGTGATATGAACTGTACCCTTACTTCTGCAGAGAAAGATGGTGGACTTCCTTGGAATCCAACGTCATCGTATGCCCTTCTTAATTCCATGGATTTATTGGAACGACAAGACTTGAGTTTTTGAGGAAATCCTTACACTTGGTCTAATAGGAGATTGGGGACGGCCTGTATTAAAGAGAGACTGGATCGAGTTTTGGTCTCTCAGTCTTGGCTGGACAAATTCCCCCAATCCTTTATTCAACATTGTACTGGCTTAGGGTCAAATCACTATGCCCTCCTGGTAGTTCAATTTGATGCTAGATGGGCGTGTAATCCTAAGGTTCGATTGATGGTCAGCTACGTCTGGAAAAAGAAATGACAGGATCACCGATGTTTCAATTACGGTCCCGGTTAAAGAAACTCTGTCATCTCCTATATGATTGGAGTCGAGCTAGGGTGAATAACTCCGCTAGGAATATTCGTGCCTTGCAGGATGAGATTGAAGCTTTGAAGAGGACCGATAAATAATATTGGGAGCAAATCAATAAAATGGAGTTGGAGCTTGCAAGGCAATTGGCTGCAGAGGAGCTTTATTTGTAAAATTCGATAGTGCGCGGAAGTAAAAGACACAGAACACCAGAATTACGTGGTATCCCCGTTCAATGTGAACGGGACTAATCCACGGAGAGCTAGAAGCTCTCGGAGAAAAACTAATATGTGAGTCTCACTTGCTTGGTCGGCTACAGTAGATGCCGAGAAGCATAAATAGAAAACTATCGAGCTAACCCTAGCTCCTATCCTCAATATACACGGAGCAGGGGAAAAATAGCAAAATGGTCCCCAAAGTAATTAAAATAACTAATTACAATTAAGGGATCTCTACACTCCCCCTCAAGCGAAGGAGTGAATGTCGAGAAGTCCGAGCTTGACGAAGAGATGATGAAACTGATCAACACTCAAACCCTTCGTAAAGATGTCGGCAGGCTGATCGGCGGTAGCTATCTTGACCGGAGTGATCTCTGACGACTGAACACGTTCACGGACGAAGTAACAATCCATCTCGACATGCTTAGTGCGCTCATGGAACACCGGATTAGCAGCAATGTGGAGAGCAGCCTGGTTGTCACAAAATAAGACAGTGGGACGAGCGGTAGAGACATCCAGATCACGGAGGAGCCAGCGTAACCAAACAATCTCACTAACAGTGCTAGCCATTGACCGGTATTCAGCTTCAGCAGAAGAGCGGGAAACAACAGTCTGCTTCTTGGTACGCCAAGAAATGGGAGAATCACCGAGGGTGATGAAGAAGCCTGTCGTAGACCGACGAGTGAGTGGACAACCACCCCAATCAGCATCACAATAACCCTTCAAGACAAGGGGAGTCGAGGAAGAAAAGAAGAGACCACGTCCCGGAGAACCCTTGAGGTAACGGAGAACACGGACAGCAGCAGCTTCATGTGCTTGAGTGGGAGACGTCATTGCCTGGCTAAGAATGTTCACAGCATAAGTAATGTCAGGACGAGTGACGGTCAAATAAAGAAGACGACCAACGAGGCGTCGATAAGCAGCCGGGTCACGAGCAGGGGGCG